GCCCGAAGTAACAGAATTAAAGATTTCTCTATTAGACACAGAGGTCATACTAGTAAAAAGATTTTGCAAGAGCAGATGACATTAAATTATTAAACTGTATCTTATGAGGAAGGACATCTGTAACACTAAAAGTTAAATGTTATATTTACAGTCCTGATAACTGGGGATGTTAAAGCCTGGTGAGGACATTTCTATACAATGACATGTTCGTTGCTGCAACATTTATTCAGTACTCATGGTTTTTGTTTCTCTCATAGAAACACCCATCCCCAGATGACTTTACAACCTGTTCTTCCCCAACCAGACTTCAAACCAAACTGAATTCTAAAAGGGAACTCACATCCCCAACGTCGTCCCCCACGTCATCGAGCTCCCTCACGTTCAATGCCCCCTCTCAGCTCTGAAGCAGCCAGAACGAACCATTGCCCCTTCTCCTTACAGCAATAAGGAGTTCCTAAAATTAGAGGGGGGAATAAAGCCAGAAATAGATAGACAGTATAGATAGGTAAATCGAGTCAGGAGGCCAATTTTGAGTGAGTCTGGTAAGTTGAAGACTGTCCCCTGAGGGTTACTGTTTACTCTAAAATTACCCTAGTGTCAACCTTAGTAGGACCACTTATGAACAAGCTAGTGGCTTTCATCAAGGACAGAGTAAACACAGTTCAGATGATGGTTCTGCATACCCAATATCAAGCCCTAAACCCAGAAGGAGAATCCTACCAAGATGTAGGGCTTGCCCATATAGACCCCCAGATGAGGGAACCATGATTGGTCCCCAAGTTTCCAGACAAAGGGGGGAATGAGAAACTGATGTGACTCCATTTTTGAGAAACCAGCTCTACCTCAAGGCCTGTCCTAAGGAAGGAAGCGTGACCCTTGTCCTTAGAAAAACCCACAGAGCACTCCTAGGCACATACCAACCCTGCTGAGTTGTTTGTCTGTAAATAACAGGAGAGATCTGTGGTGCCAGGTGTCCCTGACTCAGTCAGGCTAGGTGAGGACCCATAGCAACCCCCTAGCAACTACCAATCAGCATGATACAGGGAAAATACCTGGGATGCCAGATGACCCCTCAGTAGTTTATAGTGGTTGATAACATTTGAGAAACCATGTAGTTTAGCACATACCCCTGTTGTGGCCTAAACCAATCAATTCAAAGGAATCTCCCTCTTGCACTAACCCATCACCCTTACCCAACTTGATCCTGCAGTGGATGTGCTAATCAATGTTAAGAGTTGTTGTTTGATTTTCCTGTGGTATGGAATGATTTGCTGTGTGATGTTGTGACACATAGAGTATCCCCCCAAAACCTATAAAATCTCACTGATCAAAGGATCAGGACTCACTTCCTGGGAACGCTGCATCGGAAACGGTTGTGAGTCCAGGCTCGAGCTTGTAATAAAGACTCTTGTGTGATTGCATCGGATTCAGCTCCTGGAGGTCTATTGAGGTCTCACGAATCTGGCATTACAATATTACATATATTTTCCCTCTTTTTAAACATGATTCATATGGGACAGAAAATCTCAACCCTGAGAATCCATGTTTGGCAGTTATGGCAAATATCCTCCTTAGCACTCATTCTCTTTCCCAAGGCTTTAAACTGGTTCTATTAGTCACAGAACAGGTATTTCTCTTCCAGGTCCAGAGACCTTGACTCCTCAGGGAGGAGGGAAGGAGAGGAGCAGACCAGGCAAGGTGTGGAGAACTTGCTGGGTAAGAGGTGGCAGGGCTTCCTTGGGAGGCTCCTATCCATGTGAATTCCAAGGCTCAACAAGGGACTTCCAGCATCAAGGACAACTGCAGCATTCTTCAGATAGTCCCCGTCAGTGGCGGACTTGAGGACTACCACAGCCCTCCCATGGTAGGCCCTCAACATACCTCACCTTCCCATAAAAGTGTTTCCTCTTTATTTTCTTCTATAGTGGTTTCAATTTCTCCCTCCCTCCCTCTTTCCTTCTTTCCTCTTCTTTATTGCTTTCTTTCCTTCTTTATTTCTTTTTTCCCTTTATTTTCTTTCTTACCTTCTTTTCTTTTTTTGGTACCAGGGATAGAACCCAGGGGCACTCAACCACTGAGCCACATCCCCAACCCTTTTTTATATTTTCTTTAGAGACAGGGCCTTGCTGAGTTGCTTAGGGCCTTGCTAAGTTGCTGAAGCTAGGTCTGAACTCACAAGACTCCTGTTTCAGCCTCTGGACCCTCTGAGGTTACATGCACGTTCTACTCCACCAAGCCTGATTTTAGCTTCTTTAGGATCCCTGCTACCTAATCCAAAGACAGATTTGGAAAACTGTCATGTCCATCTAGTTAGAATCTATGAGGCAAGGGCCAGAAACTGTACTGTAGTATTCCTACCTCTGACCTTATGCAAAAAGGCTGGTGTTTGCAAAGCAGATCTATTCACTCTGTTATCTTCCCAGTATAACTATCATCATTGCTGCATACGACTGCATCAACAGGAAGAGAAGAGAAGTGGAGAGGTGAAGGTACCTATCAGACAAAAACTAGTCGTGTTACTGTCCCAAAATAATTGGGACTTCTTATGGTCTGGAAGAGAATTTTAGTGGGAACAGAATCTTCTCATGTACTCGTGCATCATTAACCAGTAAGATAAGGACTGAAAAATGTGCTGATGGGCAATTTGTCACTGTGCCAAGTCACTGAGTGTATTTACAGAAGCTAAGATGGCTCCTAAGTCACTAGGCTATACCATTGTTTGGGACCTCCATCATATATATGGACCATCATTGACCGAAAAATTATCATGTTGCATGTGAATGTACTTGAAAGCTGTCCACTGTAAGAGAATATGAACTTTCTATTTGTTGTGGGAGGACCCAAGCACCTCTGATGTTTAAAGGCATCATGACTAGAAACTGAATAAGCAGAGAAATTGGTCTTCCACAGCAATGGGACTTGCTTCCTGACTGCCAGGACCTTTCCCAGCAGGGAGATACTTAGGGGGCAGCCCAGGCTTGGGAAAGAGCTGCCAAGGAACTCACGGTTTCTTGGAAGGTTGATGGATCCTCATTCAACTCTGAACATCCATGGCTGCCAATTAAGTTGGACACTGACTCTCAGTAGATAACAAGAATCAACCTGCATTTACTCTTGTTTGGCATGGGATCATCAGAATCATGTAAGATATTAAAATGCAAAATAAAACCTCATGCACAACATGAATAACAAGTGTGCTTCCGTCAATGAGGTATAATAATGGCAAATAAAAGACTTCAGGCTTAAATGTGGAAAACAACCCAATGCCCACGGAGGGATGAATAAATGGACAACAGATGGAGTCTGCCCATCTGTTATTCAGCCTTAAGAAAGAGGGAAATTCTGATCCATCCTCCAGTAATGTAGGATCTTGAGGACAGTGCACAAAGTAAAATAAGGCAGACACACTGGGACACATACTGTATGAATTCCCAGTCCTCAACACAGATAAGGTACTGAGGGTTGTCAATTTCACAGAGATAGAAATGAGAATGGTGGTCAGTAGGAGGTGAAGAGGAGAAGTGGGAGTTAGTGTTTCATGGGTGAAGACTGTCTGCTTATGGTGATGGAAAAGCTCTGCAGATGGATGATGGAGGTGGATGCACAAGAGAAATTTATAGTCATGCCCCACATGATGACATTATGGCCAGTGATGGGAAAATACACCACATACACGAATTTGTTCCACAATATGACATAGCATAAGTAAGACTGTAGCCATCTCAGTTGGTGTAAGAGCATTGTAGAATGTTTGTGCAATGATGAATCATACTGAAACACATTTTCAGGAATATATCTCCATTATTAAGTGAGACATGCATGTAATCAACACCACTCACCTCTACACATCATAATGGTTAACATGGTAAGTTTTCTACATATTTAACCACATTTTGTGGCTAGAAAGAAAAACATGGATTGAATGCCCAGCTGGAAAGGAGCTGAGTTAAGATGTTTGGAAGCAGCTCCCCAGTTCCACTGGGTGCTGGGACACATCCCTTGCACTTCCCATCTTCTGGGCAAATACTATATTCTGTCTTGTATGGGAAAATTTCCATTTGTTTCTTTTTTCACAGATTTTCCATAGGGCACATGGGTGACAGTGAAATATCCAGATCAAGAGCAATATCTTTGCTCCCAAATATACTATGTAAACTGGAGAGAGATTGATTGGAAATGAGAGGCTAACTTGAGATGATCCATAGACTCCCAGAAAGTGGAGACACTCTGTGAAGAGTATGAGCATGTGTAGAATTTCCTATGATTTTATGTTTTCAAAAGGAATCCTGTGTTAAAGATGCCTAAGTGCACAGTGTATGTCGCCTCGACAGATTTCTGAAAACAGTGAAGGCCAGTGGCACTTAGAGGAATAGATTTGCTAAATTGAGTGTTTCCATTTAGGTTTTTCAAGTGATAATTCAGTGTACATGGGTTCTTTTGTATATACTGAGCTCCTTCTTGGGAGGTCTTGTCATTTCTGCCCTTCTCCATCTTCCTTGCCATCCTCCTTCCTCTCCCTCCACACTAAGCTCTGAAATGGAAATGCTAAAAGGCAGGGTATCTAACACGTGTTGTGTTGAGAATGGAGAGAAGAACCCACAATCTAGAGAGAAGTGAAAGAGGGAGGAGTCAGAGACCCATAGGGTAATTTGGCAAGGTGGACAGAGTTTGGATTAGTAGCAGCAGAGACCATCTCCTCTAGAACTCTAGGACAGGTGCACACACCAGTCTGACAGTTACAGGGTTTTCCTTCAAACTGGTTGCCAGGTTGGAATGAGTGATGACATCAGAGGCTTCCAACCTTCCTGATTGGAAGGGACAGACTCTGTGGACCACTGGTAGTGCAGTGGGCAACAGTTTGTCCTCAGCACTGTTCTTCACCTGGTTTCTCCCGTTTGGAGAAGAGCGAACAGATTCCTATACAACCAAATTCTGGAAGAAGGCTTTGCCTTAGTAAGAATCTAGGTTTTGTAAAAGGAAGACAGAGTATTGGAGAACTTATGGAGGATCAACAAATCTCCCAGTCTGGGCAATCGCCTTCCCAGCCAAGCACCTCAGAAACCCACCTGGAAGTGGTGGTAGATGATGAGATCCCAGGTCCATCAGGTGAGAGAGCTAGAGTGAGAACTGATTTGACATGATGACTGGTAAGGAGGAAGGAAGGGGTAGAGAAGCCAGAAAAGGTAGACTAGGGAGCTCACTTTTGAAGTCTAAAGTTCCTTGCCATGGGACAAGGTAGTCCACATGGATGGAAAATCTGTAGAGAAAGGAGTTGGGTTAGAAGATGAAATCTAAGCATAGGAAGTAGGTAGAGGAGATGTAAAAAGGGTCACTCCCCCATGGAAGAAAGTATCCATAATGAGGAAGAGTTCTGAGGAACAGGGAGATGGGACACTGGTAAAGAGAATCAGGGGCACATGTTTATCAGCAAAGGGGAGAGGTTGAACAATAGCTCAGAAGAAGGTAACAGTTGAAGGTCTTGGGTGTGGGAGGTGAACTGGGATCAGATAATGAAAGGCTGAATTCCAAGTACAGGAGCTTGACTCTGCTTCCTTTACTCAGCTCTGTGGGTAAAACCCTGCCTCCCATGTCGGTCCTCGAGGAAGAGAGAGTGGACCTCAGAATCTGAGGAAGACTCGGAGGATGATTCCCCAGGGATTTTTGATTCTGCACCCTGGGTAGAATCTGGCCTCCTGCCTGAGACCACTGGTCTAAAGAGAAAGAGAGAGTCCTCCACTGAATCTGAGGATGAGCTGGAGGATCTGGAAAGTGAGCTAAATCACCCCTGGGATGTGGAGTCACTGTGTGGCCTCAAAATGAAACTCAAAAAACGGCGCATGGACTTGGTGCAACCAGAACACCATGAGGTTTTCAAGAGGCTTCTAGGTAGGGAGACACCCGGGTAGTGCCCTCCAATCCTTTCTTTACACAAATAAGGAACTTACAGCCACTGCACTTTTCCAAAGAGCCCTGCTATCCCTGAGATCCCCATTCTTGGAGGACTCAGGACCCATCTCCCTGAGAGACTTTTAGATGATGGATGCTTACATTAGACCTGACAAGGTCTCTGCTTGGAATCACAGAACTTGGTTCCAATTGTCCTGATTGAAGACATCTTGACTCTAATAGATTTCCTCCTCCATGAGAAAATGACCTAGTAATTCTCTGATTCTGAGGTGGTGGTATATTCTTGGGTGATGATGAGCCTTCACAGTTTACTCAAAGCTTTTATTCATATAGATATCCAGATGTTACCCAAACCCTCACTCAGTTGTTTCTCGGGGGGGGGGGGTCTCATGTCAAAGCAACTTGCCCAAGGAATGTTCCTGTCCTCTATCTATCCACCTTTATTGGGCTCCAATCCCACACCTTCTCCAAGGGAGGTCCTGTTCTCTCTGCTCTCTATCACCCATTGCAACCCCTTCTGGTTCCAAACTAACACCAGTGTTCTGTTCACAGAGGATCCTGTTGTCAAAAGATTCCTGGCCTGGGACAAGAACCTGAGGGTGTCTGACAAGGTGAGGTTGCTTTCCACTGGGAAGTGTTACTGATCCAGCACAGCCTGGAGTGGGAAGGGCTTTCTGACCCTATGGTCCTCTATTGGGCTCCAATCCAACACCTTCTCCAAGGGAGGTCCTGTTCTCTCTGCTCTCTCTCACCCATTGAAGCCCCGTGAACATGGTCCCATTACTCACCCCTCAGGGAGGAGGAAATCTATTAGAGTCATAATGTCTGCAATCAGGATGATTGGAACCAAGCTCTGTGATCCCAAGCAGAGACCTTGTCAGGTCTAAACTAATGTAAGCATCCATCATCTAATAGTCTCTCAGGTATATGCATTCTGAGTCCTCCAGACATGGGGGAGAGATCAGCCATAGCAGGGCACTTTGGAAAAGTGCATTGGCTATAGAAGAAATTATAGCATTGTAGTATAGTTTTTTTTCCCCCTCACAATTCCCTAGTCAAAACAAACACACAAGCTCCACATGGTCCTTCTCTCTGCCTCTGCATACAGCCAAAAAGATGTACCAAGTCCTGGCACCTTTGTAACTTGTCAACATCTCCCTTCAGGGCCTAGCAGCTTTTTGCAGAGAGGACAGGTGGACCTTGCTTCTGCTTGGGTTGCTTGGGCTCCAAGTCCGAGACCACAGTCTTGCATGTCTATCACCTCTCTGCTTGATACCACCTGAGGTTCTGGGCTCCTCTCCTCTTTGCTCTCCCTAGGATCTCCTATTCTTTAGCTTACCCAAGACCCTCCTCACCCAGCTGACCTACATGCCTTCTCTCAAAAGGTCGCCTCAGAGCTGGCCCAGTGCACATCTAGGCCTCCTCTCCCCCTGACTGCTCCGACTGACCTTGGTCCTTCTTGTCCTTCCCCAAGGAAGCAGGTCTCTTTACTTGGTTACTTTATCTTAGTGGCACTCTCTACCCCAGACCTCCATTCCTCTGTCCCCTCTTTCCTCCTGTTCCAGGATGTGACCTCTCTGTCTTTCCTCTCTCTCCATCAGTACCTCCTGTCTATGGTCATAGCTTATTTTAGCCGGGCTGGCCTCTTCTCCTGGCAGTACCAACGAATCCACTTCTTTCTGGCCCTGTAAGTATTTGGTCTCCATCAATCAGAACTCACTACCTGGGAGGGTAGAAACTGTCCTTTACTTTTGGCCTGTTTGTCTGGTTTACTCTGTGTAGAAGAAATTGTAGCATTGTTTTTTCCCCACAATTCCTGACTCAAAACAAACATAAGCTCCCTAAAAGCCAGTTTTAAAAAAATAAAGGAAACTTGAGAAGAGTGGAGGAAAGCATGGGCACATCCTGTCCCTGGCAGAGAGACTGGAGTTGCAGACACATCTTCCTTCCTGTATCTACACTGTTCTGTCTTCTGCCTCTGGATTTCTAAAACAGATGCCCAACTCCCAACCTGGCACAGGTGCAGTGTAAGGTGCTCCCCTCTGGTCCTTCATACATGTGTCTTCTCACATTTGTGGCATTCTATGTACCCCCTGAAATTCCTTCCAGGATGGATCCAACCACCTCTTAGGCCTCCTCCACAAGTGTTGCTCACTGCTTTCCAGACAAAGGCTGGAGTCCTTCAGAAGGTGTGTGTCTGGCAGAGACCTCTGGACCAAGGCATGGTCCTCTGTAACACTTAATAGGGCTGGTGCAGTCCTGTCTGAAGATGGTCCTCTGGGAGTCCCTTTTTTAGAAGCTGACTCCAAGGGGAGGCTTTTCCTGGTTATGTTGCTGAGGAGCAACCTGGTTTCTTTCCCCAGCTACCTGGCCAATGACATGGAGGAGGACAACCAGGCTCCTAAACAAGACATCTTTCATTTCCTCTACGGGAAGAGCTATGCCCAGCGTCCCCTGTTCCACAAACTGCGCTATCAGTTCATCTGCTCCATGGGCTGGAACACTCGGGTTTCCAAGGAGGAGTGTGAGGAGGTGGGTGGTGCTGTGTGTGCTTGTGGGGGGAGAGGGATGGGCTGACTGGAGAGACACAGGGAGGTGGGTGGCTGCAGGTGGGCTCTAGGGAGGAGAAAACTCCGACAGCTGTGCAGGGAGGGAAGGATTTCCTGGGCAGTCTTCAGTTTTTTGTTTTTGTTTTTTTTGTGGGGGGGGGGGGCGGGGGTTTGTTAGTGTACAAAATGTGTACCTCAATTTACTGTATACCATCTAACAAAAATTTAGTGGAAATTTATCAGATATATATAAGTGATTCAAGTAATAAAAGAAAGTCTCATTTCAAGAAAATGAACTTCTTGAGGAAAAGTAAAGTACATTAAAAGTGTAAAGACAAGTCCAATTTCTATGCAATAAGGGAACTACAGTTTAATAAAGCAGATTCAAGTGATTTTTTTCCATATGTATCTTTGGTCTTTAATATATATTTATGTATAGATGGATCTAACCATTGTAAACTATGGTTTATTTTAAAGGAAGTGGATAAATGAGATGAAAGGAATCTTTATACTAGACTAAAATTATTCACAAAGCAGAACATTTTACAGTGAAATATTTTTTTCATTCATAGAATTTTTACACAATTAATTTCTACTTTGGATGTAACTAAAATTATAGTTTAATTATTTGTCTAGAACACTAGAACACTGAGATATACTCTTTAGTTTTAAACAAAAATCATACCAAAATTATTCATCTGCCAGTCTTATAGTCATGTAAAAATTATAATTTTATTATAATTACATTAAACCATTATTCTATTCAAATCAGAGACAATGATAAAGCTGTCTCTTGATAAAATCAAGTTTCCAAATTTGATTCAATGAGACACCAAAACCACTGTCTCTGTCAAAGCATCTTTACAAAATTTTCCACACAGGTAGCATAATTTAGTTGTCTAATATAAAATGGGAAAATATACTCAATTTTTATTGAAAAGAAAGCCGAAAATATGATGTCCCACATCTTACATAATATGCTCCTAATATATAGCCATGTTAGTAATAAGTAAAATAATGTTGTGATATCCATATATAGCTACTTCATTTGTCACCAGGATAAATAAATCTAATAATTACACCTTGATAGCTGACAGAACTTGTTAATAGAATCAAGCCTCTCAACATTTTATTTAAGATATTTGTAAACTGCTGAATCATAGTAACTAGAAAGAAGAAATTGTAGCATTGTGTATAGTTTTTTCCCCACAATTCCTGACTCAAATCAAAGTGAACTAATTTTAAGGAATGTGAAAATAGATTAACCATGACTTCAAAACACTCAATATCTTGTAAACTCATCAGCTTTTTGGGGGGCTCTTTTTCTTTTCAGATTCAAGCTTATGATCCCGAGCTCTGGGTGTGGGGCCGAGATCGCACTCTTATTCCCTAGAAGACCCGGAAGAATGGAGGCCTGAGGGGAGAATCAAAATTTTGTATCTCTGGCCTTATGACAGAGTCACTGATTGTCTATTTAGGATGCTCAAGGACCTAACTTCTCGATCCACTCCTTTACACCTCCACTCATAGCCACTGTGTGCAGATGGTGAAACAGACTGAATCCAAGTCAGCTTCATGGTCTCAAACCCCAACCACACAGATGAGCTTCTATATGTGCTGAGTGCTATGAGGCTACTCAGCCACACCTGAGAAAGAACAGCTTATCACACAGGATGTGCTAGAAATCCTTAACCCAGACAAATTGGGCCCAAATGTCAGCAGTGGTGAAAGGCTGATCTTGGTCTAAAGTGAATGTCCTTTAGCCATGAATATCTCACTTCCCTGTAAATTGTCTTTTTACCCTCTCCTTTTAATTCATCTTGGGTCAAGCATCTCTTAAGGATACCAAGCATGAAGATGATTTATTTATAGGATTATCATAGTTTTAGTATATATAATAAATGCTTATTTTGAACTATGTTTATTTTAAATTGTTTTGAGACATATGTTGTTTGGAAAATTGTTGTTTCTTATTAGTTTTGTGATGAGTGTTATAACAGGTTTGTGTATATAATTATTTCTCTGAAGTTTTTAATCTTTTAAATCTATTTTATCTATTACTTTTAAACCTCAGTGGTATTACCCCATAGTCTTATAAATATAAATTTTCATTTGATGTTCAATCATCATTATTGTAAATATCAAGCTGCCAATGTCTGGCTGGGCACAAATGCCGCAGTCTGGCTGGGCACACAATCACGAGCCACCACACAGCTTGTAGATTCAAACAGCAACTCTTTATTCCCGAACTCACACCAGCCGTCTACAATCACATTCTGGGGAAATCCACGTTCTCTTCCCAAATCCACCTTCTCTCCCAAATTTACCTCCACTGGGCTTCTATCTCCAAAATATACTGTCTGAATCCCGTGAGAACTCAAGGGGAACTCAGGCAGCAGGATACGCCCTATTCCCAGCAGGAATAAGGAATAATCTTAAACCTTAAACCTGGAACCTAAATTGGGAACGCCCTAAACAAGATTATCTTAAAACCGGGAACACCCTAATCTGCCTTGGTCCTTGAGCAAGGTCACTTACATTCAATGTCACTGCAACATGTCAGCAACATGGGGTACGCTGGCAAGGAAATTGTCATACCTACTTGGCTAATGGCTCCCAGCATCTCCCCCCTTCTGATTAATTAAACAACAAGCAATGTGGCTTAAGGACCGTGCCTGGTAGGTTGTCCAATTCAACATATGGTTCTTACCCGTCATGGGAAAAACTGACCTTTAGGCGTCAGCCTCCTGTCTTAGGTTGATACCACTGCAATTGAATCATACCCGTCACTGACTACCGGTCCAGCATACAGCCATACTTGTGGATAGGTCTATGCACCAGTGGGGGGGTGAGGTTCTTTGCCTCACCTCTGTTGGCCCCCAAATTTGGCCTTGGTGCCAGTGCCAATGTCTGGCTGGGCACAAATGCCGCAGTCTGGCTGGGCACACAATCACGAGCCACCACACAGCTTGTAGATTCAAACAGCAACTCTTTATTCCCGAACTCACACCAGCCGTCTACAATCACATTCTGGGGAAATCCACGTTCTCTTCCCAAATCCACCTTCTCTCCCAAATTTACCTCCACTGGGCTTCTATCTCCAAAATATACTGTCTGAATCCCGTGAGAACTCAAGGGGAACTCAGGCAGCAGGATACGCCCTATTCCCAGCAGGAATAAGGAATAATCTTAAACCTTAAACCTGGAACCTAAATTGGGAACGCCCTAAACAAGATTATCTTAAAACCGGGAACACCCTAATCTGCCTTGGTCCTTGAGCAAGGTCACTTACATTCAATGTCACTGCAACATGTCAGCAACATGGGGTACGCTGGCAAGGAAATTGTCATACCTACTTGGCTAATGGCTCCCAGCATCAAGCTGCTGTTATTTAACTTGGTTTGACATGTTTTTCTGTTATTTTAAAGTATGTATTGTAAGAGAACACATGTGCTATGTACATTTTTTTTGGGGGGGGGAGCTATATGCTTTTCAAGAGCACAGCATTTGTGGGGAAACTGAATAAAGTTGAGAATCTTCTTACCTTAATGATGCATCTGATCATGACATTCTGGATTGTTTGTTTGCTGACAAATGTTACTATTGTTTAACAGGGTTGTTGTTAATTGACCAAATTTCTTACCTGTGGGGGGAAAACACCTCAATTATTTTTCACGTCTGAAAACAACAGAGAAGGTTGCAGAACTTTATACTAGAGACTGGAAGCAGGAAACACAGGGAGGACATTGAGAGAGACAACACAGAAGAGTGAAAGAAAATTCTAGGAGAGCTGTATAACAATCTAAATCCAAAATCAAGAAGAGGCATCTCAACAGGAGATGCCTTCCTGGTAATGGTCCAAGGATGGGGACACACAGGGAATGGTAGACTTTGCTACTGGAGTCGCAGTTTGAGTCTTTTCCACAATCTATTACTAGTTTTACATAACAGAAGGAAACCCAAAGGGTCTTGTTGAAATAGAAACTGGTGAAGGGAAATGAAGGTACTAGGGCAAGTTGTGAGAAGAATGAGATGATAGGAAGAGCTCGAGCTGGTAAATAGATAGGCACAGAGAGGAAAGGGCTAACAGTGTGGGCACCGAATGACTGCCGACAAGCATCTTGGGAGATGGGAACTTCAGAGAATACGGGAGCAGCTGTGGAAAGAAGCAGGTGAAGCAAAGTGTCAGAAGAAAAACAAAGCTAAAGAGAGGTGGCAACAGAGCCAGTGATGAGATGTGATGTGGGGTTAGAGGCAAGTGGAGATGATGTGAAGAGGCTGGAAAGTACCTGCATGAAATGAGCTTAAGACTGGTTGAATGTGTTAAAAGAGGAATGGTGGTTGGGTGAGTGGAGCAACTGAAGAGGTAAAAGTTCGCTGAAGGAAAAAGTCATTAAAGACCAGCACTGTGCAATGCAATTCTGATGCTGATCAATTGCATGGAGGTCACATGCTGCAGGTTGAGGCCCCCTCTACACTGCCCTGTCTTCAGAAACCAGCTGTAAACTGTTTCCCAAGCTACTGGCACTTCTCACCAACGACTGCATATTCGGGGATTCCTATTGTATAATTCTCTAAAACATCTCACTGAGATTAAGAGAGCACAAATCCTATAATTACTGTTTTGTCATGTGAAAAAGGACACAAATTGGCACCGACTAAAAGAGGCACGTGGCTGAGGGTCTAGGAAAGTTTGAATTAAAGCTGTCATGTCCTTAGGATGCAGCACCTTCAGAGGACATTCGATGTATATGACCAACCTGGGAAGCTGACCTTGATTTCAGTGTCTAGAGTTTTTACTGGAATTTCACTAAGCATTTGGTAGGAGTGGGATGAGTAGAGCGATAATCCAGGCTCAGGTCCTGCCCTGTGGGTGCTTACCATAGAGTGGGGGAGACAGGCGAGTGTCCAGGAAAGAAGACGAGGGAAGAGGGTGTGGATAGAGACAGGGGACGTCATGATGTCACCTACACAGCGTGAGGGTGGCACCAGGCAGCATCAGGGTCTCCAGACTGGCTTTGTCTCTCTGACCAGTAAAAGGCCCATCTTGGTTAATGCTGGGCGGGCAGGCACCGGACTCCCAGTCCCTGGGCCCACCGGAAATAGGTCTGTCTCGGCCCACTTCAGTGGGCCTGCCTTTTCCCATTGCAAGGCTGAGTTCCTCACCGCACTGGAAGTCCGGTAGTCTGCATGCACAGCTCACCGGAAATCTGTAATCCAGGGCCCAGAGCAGGTCCCTAGGCAAGTACTGGGATTCTATTTCTATTTCCCAAAAGTCTATGCGCTTCCCACCACCCTCAATTTAGGGACCGCGTGAAATGTGCCTGCCTCGTCTAACAGTGCAGAGGAGACATGCTGTGAGCCTTGGCTGCCCACAGGCCTCCCACCCTCCAGCATGGCTTCTCCTTAGATCAAGAGAGCCTTTAAGGGAATGTCTAGAATGCATTTCCTTCATTTTTTTTTTTCCTAATTGCGTCTTGATTCAGTGATGGTTGGAATTTTTAAACTTTTTTTTATTTCAAAATACAGAGTCAAGGAAACTTGTGACTAAATAAGAAAGTAAAAACTTTCAACCAAGCATTTATGTTGACTGAAAATTCGGGAGCCTGGAGAGCATTGTTCAATTCTCGTTTTATGCATCTTTGGGAAAGACTGTTCTTCTCTATGGCGGATTGGTGGATTCCTAGAGGTAGGGGCTGGGTTGCTCCTTTTGGAAAAAGTCACAGGAATATCTCTTTTATTATTTGGTGATAATTAAATGGTCAATTAAATTTTCCCCAAATTATCAAAATGAATGCTTTGATTAGAAATATTAAATATAACAACTTGATTTTGAAAACAAGAGTTATATTTCCTGATTTTGGAACACTGAGATAGAGCTTGGCAGGTAGCAGTGACAGGTAAGCTGTCTTTCATTCATTCCCCCTTCTCCCTTTTAGTACTACCGCCCCTATTTTATTTTTCCAGCTTTCCAGTTGGTGTGGCCTATGATTGGTTTAGGCAAGAGATACAGGAGAACAAAGAATCCTTCCCTCCCTGCACAGCTGTCGGAGTTTTCTCCTCCCTAGAGCCCACCTGCAGCCACCCACCTCCCTGTGTCTCTCCAGTCAGCCCATCCCTCTCCCCCAACAAGCACACACAGCACCACCCACCTCCTCACACTCCTCCTTGGAAACCCAAGTGTTCCAGCCCATGGAGCAGATGAACTGATAGCGCAGTTTGTGGAACAGGGGACGCTGGGCATAGCTCTTCCCGTAGAGGAAATGAAAGATGTCTTGTTTAGGAGCCTGGTTGTCCTCCTCCATGTCATTGGCCAGGTAGCTGGGGAAAGAAACCAGGTTGCTCCTCAGCAACACAACCAGGAAAAGCCTCCCCTTGGAGTCAGCTTCTAAAAAAGGGACTCCCAGAGGACCATCTTCAGACAGGACTGCACCAGCCCTATTAAGTGTTACAGAGGACCATGCCTTGGTCCAGAGGTCTCTGCCAGACACACACCTTCTGAAGGACTCCAGCCTTTGTCTGGAAAGCAGTGAGCAACACTTGTGGAGGAGGCCTAAGAGGTGGTTGGATCCATCCTGGAAGGAATTTCAGGGGGTACATAGAATGCCACAAATGTGAGAAGACACATGTATGAAGGACCAGAGGGGAGCACCTTACACTGCACCTGTGCCAGGTTGGGAGTTGGGCATCTGTTTTAGAAATCCAGAGGCAGAAGACAGAACAGTGTAGATACAGGAAGGAAGATGTGTCTGCAATCATAGGAGAGAACCTGAGTGTATGGGATTAGCTGAAGTGACAGTGTCCTTGGGTGGCCTGATGGACTCTTGTGTCATTCCCGTTGCATCTTTCTGATCTCTAAACATTTTGTCCTCATAAAGCTGCTGCCACTGGTTTTCTTCCTTCCTCTTAAACTATCCCCGACCTTCTCCTTCAGTAAAGCCCACCTCCATAACTGTCTGGGATCCTACGTATCTTCTGATGTCCTGTGGCATCATTTTCTCCTCATAGAAAATTGTGGTTTCCTGATTCTTTGCTCTTTTAATTTTCTCATCTGATCCACTTTGTATAAGTTTTTATAACCTCAAACCCTTGATTCCTTTGACCTCCTATTTTTCTGTTTTAATCATTCCTAACACGGTTTTGAATTCTCCCCACACTTCTCTTTCTCTAAGAAAGCCAGCTGTTCCTGTGACCCGCAACGACAGCTGTCCTCTCCCCAGCTCTGCTCAGCCTCCACAGCTCTGTAGGTTCTTCAATTCCAGAAGCCTGGGCGCTCCGAGTCTGCCATATTCTTGTCTTAATTGCTCCTGTGTTCTCTTCTCTGGGAGTCACATTCCTTCTGTCATCACAATGCATTTCCAAAGCGACTCCCTTGATTTATTTTCCTTCTCAGCTTTCCGTGGCCTCCAGCCCTCTCACTTTCTCAGCTGGTCCGTATCTTCATCCTGGGAGTGGTTTGAGCTTTCCCCCTTCCCAGTGACCTCCCCTCTCTTCAGCTGGACTCACTGCAGGCTTCTCTCTGCCCCTGGGCTTATACCACAGCCTTCTTCCCCAGTCTTTCCAAATGCTCCCACCCTGACCCTGTAGCCTGGCCACCTGACCTTCTCACCCTATCTGTTACTGATAGATTGTTCACATACATTATTGGTTTCCTAGGTTACCCCTTTTCATTCAGCTCTTTTCTCATCTTAGCTGCTCATATGTCCTCTTCTACCCACGTCTGCCATCCTGAGTGGACCTAGAGCTACTTCACTACCTGTGATTCCTATGTGTCTCATAAACAGGATCTGTTTCCAAGCTGCCCTCACCAGACCATTTCTCCTCTTCATTTTCTAGCTATTTCAGCGTCTGCAGAGCCTACAGTTCATGCTGCTCTTCAACTATCACCTTCATCCTGCTTCTGATTGCTGCCCATCTCCTGGAGCTCCGATTTAGTACATTATGTGTTGCAATAAAGAAATACATGAGGCTGAAATTTTTATTAAGAAAAGGAATTTATTTACTTACTTTTGAACTACCAGGGATTGAACCCAGGGCTGCATGCCTGCGAGGCCAGTCTTGTACTGCTAAGCTATAACCTCAGTCTTCAAAACGAAGTTTATTGAGCTCATAGTTCTGGAAACCCAAAAGCATGGTGCTGGAATATTGGCAGTCCTCCTGCTCCCTGGCCATATCACAGTGTGGTTTAGAAGTAGGAAGGAAACAGGCCAAGTACAAAGGAGGCCAAATCCATTAACAACCTGTTCTCATAACTCAGTGTGTGAGACCAGCATTAATACCTTCTGAGGAAAATGTCCCCATGATCTAATTACATTCCATTTGATGCCACGTATTAAAGTTTCTACCACCTCAACCCTGCCACATTTGGGACCAAGCTTCCTGCACCTGAACCCTTGTAGGCACATATCCAGTCACAGCAAGCTGTCTTCATGTGACTGTTCTGCTCCTTGTGACTCCTTGGCTTTGTCAGCTATACTATCTGTGTTAACCAGTATTTGAAAATTTCTGGGTGACAGAAGATTCTATTACTCATAGTGGGCCTCTGGGACTAAATCTGAGTTTATGATAACAAGGTGATCCCAAAACAGCCAGCCACAATAGAAAAGTTACCACATGACTGTGGGGCGTGTGCAACTTTGAGCTTCATATCAGCTAGTACTTAAGGAAGGAGAGGAAGGCAAGAGATTGGGTTCCACTGCAAGACAATTGAAAAATCATGCCTACCTAATGAATTCCAATAAAAACTCAGAACACTGAAACCAAGGTGAACTTCCCTGCTGGGTGTACACATCACTGTCCTGGTAAGATGATATATCCTGAGGACATGGAAGCTTTCAATGGGACCCTCCAGACCTCAAGCCATGTGTCTGTTCTTTGGGCTTGTCCCAGTTTGGGTTCTAACCTTGGGGTCCGTGTGAATAGGATGTTTCCAAGGAAACTCCACACACCTCCCCAGCAGGTTCTCCACACCTAGCTGAGTCTGCTCTTCTCACCTTTCTATGTCCTCTGGTGAGTCAAGGTCTCTGCATCTCAAAGAGAAGTTCCCTTTGTGACCACAGATCCAGTGATATCCTTGGAAAAACAGGAGCATCAAAGGTGGATTTTTGTTGTTTCTGCCCAATATGGATTCAAGGGTCTAGTTTACAGTCCCTGCTGAAACAAAATTAAAAAGAGGGCAAAATATATGGAGTGTCGGTGTTTAGGAGTTTAGATCCCTGAGAGAGAGGCCAGTCCAGAGAGAGCCCAGCTCACTGGCCAGATAGGGAGTGTCCAATCTAGAGAGCAGGAGGGGACATGGAGTCAGCAGAAAGGAGAGAATATCTAAGGAGACATGGGAGCTAGAGGTCATAGTGCAGAGAACTGAGAGAAGCAAAGTTTAGGGGCTCCCAGTCTTCCGGGCTACACAAAGTGGGAACATGTTAAGAGGTGAGAACTGGGGTCCAGGCAGCCTCAGGCCTATCCCTCTTCAACATGTGGCTTTTCAGAGATTGGAGGACACAGGCCCATGCAAGGGACACAAGAATGACCCAGGGAGGGAATGAGGAGGATCAGAGGTAGGTTGGTCAGTGTGCTTTGAGCATTCCAAGTGCAGGTGGCCTCAACATGGCAGAAGTGGTGCTGGGCTTTGGAGAGGAATGACAAGTTTCTGTTTGAGACATTACTATGCCATGTCCTTCCCCTGAGGCTGGCATCTGGGTAGTGAGCCTCTAAACGTGTCCTACTTACAACTCTGGGAGCTCTCCTCTCTGACATGTGGACACCTTGCTGAGATGGGTGGGAGGTCTGGAGTGGCCAAGGAACCTGCATTTCTAACAACTCCAGGGTAAGGCCAAGGCAGTTGGTCTGGGGACCTTGCAACCACTCTCACAGCCTCCATCCTCCATCCTTGGTCTGTGTCCATCTGTCCTTCTAGTATGCCATCTTGTTGTGTCCCTCCCTCCAACGGCTCCTCCCTGCTCTACCAATTTGATGCTCCCCAGCATAAGCCCACACCCCTGTTTCAGCCAGGCTGACTTTTCATCTGAGAAACATGCTTGCTCCTGCCACCTGTTAGAGGGCCTCACCTGGTCAGCTTACAATGTTCTGGTGTCCCTGCAGAAGTCCCTGCCTCCCCGGGTTTCACATGTGACAACAATTCCTGTCCTTTGATTTTGTTTCTTTTTCTTTTTAATACTAGGGACGGAACCTAGAGGTGCTCTACCACTGAGCCCCAGCCCCAGCCTTTTGATATTTAATTTTGAGACAGGGTCTGGTAAGTTGTCCAGGCTGGGCTGGTACTTCTGATCCTCCTTCCTCAGCTTCCCAGATAGGTGGGATTACAGGACTCTGCCACCACACCCGGCTTAGTTTAATCTTTAGAAGTATCTATGCCTTGGGATGATAGTTTTCTGTAGAGAGGATTTTCTTTTCCCTCTGGTAGTTTCCACCTGTGACAAAGATGTGACCCTTCTCTGGGCAGCTCTAGGGCCCCCAGGGATACAGACTTCATCCCTCCCAGAGTATGGCACCTCAGGATGGCAGCCAGGGTCACTAGATCACACTGGCTCCTCATTTCAGGAGCAGTGCAGCTCTGTTGCATTGAGCTCCAATCCTCCCCGAGTCCTGGTTCCTCAGAGGTTTCTGATGGATCTGAAATTTACTGGGGTATAGTTCAGGCAGGAGGTTCTTCCTCATTAGTGTATCGTCTGAGTCTGGGGGAGTATGTCTGACACAGCCATCCCTGATCACAGAAAAGGAGCAGCCCTGCCCCTGAATTTCTCAGTGGCCCTGCAGTAAGTGCTCCCCTCTGGAGGTCTTGGATAGTGACTGTGATCTCACTGTTATCTGCTGAGGGGAGGGGTGGCTTACCTCCCTAGGTCAGGGAGCAGGGTCCAATCCCCTTGTGGCACGCTCCTTTCATGACCCAGCCTTCCTGTTTGGTCACTCTGAGCACCATCCCATTCATCAGTCACAGTGAGACCCCTCCTGGCTTTCCTGGCCACTCTTTCTCGCTCCCTTGGGCTCCGCCTTGGTTGTGTCCTGGCTTCCTGAGCTCTGTCCATGCCCACACTCCTGGGAAGTATCATTCTTTATCACCGTTGTGACTAGTGACCATACACCTGGTCCTATAGTTCTGTGGGTCAGGAGTCTCCCTGGGCTGAGGTCAAGGTGTGGGCAGGCTTCATTCCTTCTCGAGCTTTGGAGGGAATCTGTCTGCATTTCCAATTTCTTGGGCATCTTCATTCATTGGCTTATGGCCCCTTCCTCCATCCTCCAAAACAGTAGTGCAGCAGCTCAGATCTTTCACTCTGAACTTAACCCTCTTGATAATGCAGAATAATGTCCCCATTTCCACATTTATTAGTCTGCCCTCAACAGGAGCTGGAAATGAGTCACTAGCCACCTCCTGACCCCCAGCACTCTCCTCCCAGATGGTATCCTGTCCTTAAAGAACAACAAGCCAGATGACGCACTGTGTGTGCTGGGCCTCACGCTTTCTGACCTGTACCCCCACGAGACCTGGAGCTTCACCTTCAGCAAGTCCCTCCCAGGGCATGGTGAGCTGGGGCCCTGCAGTTTCCACCTAGAGGGAGCCTGGCATGTGCTCTTGCTCCAGGGGAGGGTGATGCACACCTGTGGAAACAGCTGCGTGATCTTGATCCCCCATATTTTTGCTATTCCTGGGCAAAAGGCTGGCTTGGCTGCTGCCTCAGGGCTGGCCTTCATGTGGGCATAATGGCAGGGCAGGGTCTACTTGGACTGCTCATCCTCAGGCCATGCCTGGGTTGCAAGAGAGGATGGGCTGCTTTCATTCTGGGCTCCCTGCATCCGAGGCTGCCCACTGAGTCTCCTTGTCCTTCGCTCTCCCCAGAAGGGTGCATCTGTAGCTTCACCTGGTTCTCAGGGGAATTCTCATAGGTGGGGCTCAGTGACCTTGATCCAGCTCTACCTGAGGTGGTGGCAGGACACAGGCAGGAACCAGTGCTTTAGCACCATGGGGGTGGAACAGTGCTGCAGGGTGGGCATGGGGGACAGGAAGAGGGTGGGTGGCTGGGCAGCTATGGATGTGTCCTCAGAGGAAGGTCATAGTGGGCTCTGGCTGAGCCTTCTGCCTGCCCAGTTATATTGTCCAGTTCTCTCCAGGAAGAGGTCAGTCCCTCACTTTACGGAGTGAGGAAATTGAGGCTCAGAGATGCCAAGTGTTTTGCCAAAGGCCACATAGCTCTGGGGGACGGCTAGGATCTGACCTACGATCTACCTGGCTCCCAAGCCCCATGCTGTTGGCTTCCCCTGAGCCCCCAGAGGGGAAGGTGTGCTTGGACCATTTGCCAGCAGTCTGTCCTCACCAGGGGTTGGGGGTCTGTGGGTAGAGGGAAAGGTTCTGAGGCAAGGCTGGTGGCCTTCCCCCTCAGGTCACATGCCACAATCTCTGCCACCTCCTGGGCCTGGGGAGCTGCCGCTGGCTCCGCTGCCTCATGAAAGGGGCGCTCAGCCTGGATGAAGCCCTGCAGTGGCCCCCAGACCTCTGCCCCATCTGCCTGAGGAAGCTGCAACAAGTCCTGAGTTTCCGGCTTGCTGAGAAGTACAAGGTGAGCGCTGCCCTGGCTGCCGACTTGGCCCAGGGGAAGCCACACACAGGCAGAGGACCTGTGCTGTGTCCTGCTCCTCCAGGACCTCACAGATCTCCCTGATGGCAGATCCAGTCCTTAGCAGGTGCTTGACAAGTGGAAGCCCCCAGCACTTTGGGGCACTTTGGCTGACTTGTGGGTCACTAGAAGGAAGAGGGAACCAGACCAACCCAGTCCTCAACAGGAGCTCCTGCCTCTGGCAGTGCTGGCAAGGGGTATGCTGCCCTCTGTTGGTGGTATATGGCATGGCCATAGAGCACGGTCCCCTTTCTTATTTCCATGGGAAGATTTGTTTGTAAACTCAGAAACTTCACTCTCTCTTTATTTCTCTTTAAATCCACCTTTGGCTGAAAACAAATTTTCAATGGAGGCACAGGACCTATCAATTTGAAAACCAAAACTTGTTGTCAGAACTTCCCTGGGTTTAAGGCCGGACTCTTATGGTTCTGGGGAGTCCCTTCCTCATGCAGGTTTCTGGCAGGGTAGTGGCTCTCAGCCTGCCCTGGTGTCACAATTCCCTGGTGGGATGAGGTTCTCACCTAGATGCATTAGAACAGTCCCCTGTGATGCTGGAGGCCTGAAGTAGAGGCCACGTATTTTCAGATTATAGCACTGACTCCCCTGGGAGCAGAGGGACAGCTCTTCCCTAGTGGGGAGCCAGGAGCCTGTGTCGCTGCAGAACAGGGCAGCTGGTGTGGTTGTCACTTGTGGAGACACCCTGCATGGGCCAGCTGCCCAGTCACGGGGGCACGGGCAAAGGGCTTGGTTGGAGGCAGCCCTTATTGTCCTGGTGAGGCTGAGAAATGGGAATTGAAGACAGCTCTGGCTGTGAAAGGGTTTGATTTCTTACTTGTGTCCTTCATCTGGGGCTCATTCAACCATCTGATGGGAACTTTTAGAACTTTACCCAGTTGAGGGCGGGGGTGTGGCGTTCAATAGACCCTGGGTGAGCTCTGAGGGCTGAGGTGGTGGGTGCAGCCTCTCCTCCCATGGTGCTCCCTGAAATGGCTGGGCCATTGGGGGCAGCCAGTCCCCTCTTAGGACAAGGCTCAGGGACCTGGTGGGCCAATGACTGTAGTAGGTGGGGAGCTATGCAGGAGATTTCCCACATGTCCTGGGATGGCCCAAGGACTCTAAGAGCCATGGAGCCACCCAGGGCCAGTGTCTCTGCTCAAAGAAAAAGCCCAGCTTTGTGGTGCCGGCCAGTGTCCACTGATTGACTGAGCAGAGCTGGAAAGTGCTGCTCATTGTGACGCCCATCCTGCAGACATGGCACACACAGGGGACCTCAGGAGCACAGGTAATGGGAGGCCATGGTGAAACATTTAGGGGTGATGTGTTTTGAGTGTTTCTTTTGCCTTAACATTTTCTGACTTTAATCATCAGCTTTGAGGAAGGGCTGGGTTAGCAAGAGGTGCCCAGTTCCTGAAACGTGAACAGCAGGCTCCTGGGACCTGGAACGTCTGGCTGTGGCACAGCCTGGACTCCAGTCCCCAGCAGTGCTGGGCAGCAGGGCCCAGGTGGCATCAGCTTGCCACGGGCCTCAAGGTGACTGAATGCAGCTGGGTCCTCGGGCTGCTCGCTGGCCAGACAAGTGCCCACCAGAGAGAACTCAGCCCGTTTCTCCCTCGCAGAGACTCCTCGCCTGGACCCAGGCAGCAGCAGGTTCGTGGCCCTGCCAGGAGGCAGGAGAGCCATCTATGTCGGAGGACACCCCACCCTTCAGCGCAGACTCTGGCATGTGCTGTGAGAGCGACTCAGAGCCTGTCACCAGCCTATCAGAGCCCCTCACCCCTGACGCATGGAGTCATGCCTTCCCTGAGGGACCCGAGGATGGGCAGAGCTCCCTGGTGGCCTCAGAGGCTCTGCCGAAGCTTGAGGGCCCTGTGGAGGCCATCGAGGAGCACGGATGGTGGCTGGCCACAAGTATCCAGGCCCTGGAGCGGGAAGTGGCCGAGGAGGAGCTCGCGCAGGTGGACAGGGCCGTGGATGCCCTGGACCGGTGGGAGATGTTCACAGGGCAACTCCCGGCTACCAGGCAAGACCTGCCCTGTGTCAGGGACAGTGCAGGGCTGCGCAAGGCCCTGGGGGACAAGCTGTCCTCCCTGAGGCGGCGGCTGAGCACACGCAGACTCCCCAAGGCCGAGTCCTCCCCCTGCCGCTGGGAGGGGGGTAGTTAGTGCAGCAAGATGGCCTGTCCCCTGCAGAAAAGTCAGCGCCTGACATCTCTCCCCAGGACACCAACTGACCACTGCTGTCCAGCCACCAAGGGCATGGTGAGCCCAGCAGAGCTAACAGAAGCCCTCAGAATGAGGAGGCTGCTTCTAGCTGGCTCCTTGGGTCCCTGTGCCCACTGCTTACCCCAAAGCACAGCCTGGTCCCAGGGCCCCCATGGCAGAGTAGCCTGCAGCCTGGGGAGTACCCCGCCCCTCTCCTGGCCGCCACCGTGGTCTGAGGGCCAGGGGGGAGCTGTGCGCTTGCCTTCTCCCTGCAGGCTGGGCTTTGGGCCTGCTGCTCCCTCTGGTTACTTCCGGTTGGAGCTCAAAAAGTTATCCAGGCCAGTGGTGACCCTGGGACATGGGCTGTGCTGCTGCTAACTAACTGGGCTCCAGGGTCCCCTCAAAGTGGAAGCCGTGGGGTTTTGTTTTGTCTCTGAGCTTGAGACTCACGGGGGTCTGTCCTTTTGGACCCACACTGCGGGAAGGCAGGTGTCTAACCTGCAGGTTTAAGGGGCAGGAGGGTGGAGCCTCCTTATCCCCTGAGGTCGCCTGCTGTCACTCAGTGGTGAAAACACACTGCAGCCCCATTCTCGGGACTGTTTTCTGACCAAGGTGGCTGTGCTGTCAGTGGGCACTAGGCCGCGGTGGTGCCATGTGGGGTCAGTTTGTACTAGGCCACCAGGTGCCTGTGCTGGTGCCAGCAGGGTGCAGCTCATGTCTTCAGAGACGTCTTTTTGGCTGAGTTCTATCCCATTCCTGAGAGCGGTTAGGACACCGTCCTCACGTGGCATTGTCTGTGACCCTTTCATTTTTTGGTTCCAGGGATTGAACCCAAGGGTACTTAACCACTGAGCCACATTCCAAGCCCTATTTTATTTGAGATGGGGCCTCACTAAATTGCTTAAGGTCTTTCTAAGTTGCTAAGACTGGCCTTGCCTTGAATCTGTCCTCCTGCCTCATTTGATTCCCACCCCCTCAAAGTGACCTTTTTATCACTATCAAATGTCCCAGCCTGAGATAGTAGGATCCTGCAGAGTGAAGCAGGTGGGGTCCTGGCTTTTCCTCACTGGAAAGAGGCAAGAACAGGAAGCTTAGACAGTTTCGAATTGTTTCTGAGAAAAAACTACAAATATAGACCTAGAGGGAGTCTGAAGCTGCCTTGTGACTGTGACACTACTGCGGGGCAAAGGGCAGGTCCCAGGCCCAGAAAAATGCAAAGGGTTAAGGTCATCTGAGCTTGGAAGCAAAAAGCTCTGATGCAGTATCGGCACCCTCCCCAGGCCCCCAGGCCATTCTTGCCATCTCATACAGGTGTCCCATGGTCCAGGTTGTCCTTGCAATGAGATGAAGGGACTCACGCTACGGCTCATGCAGCTGCCCGTGTCTGCCAGCAGGGAGCACAACTGGACCTTGACGCCCAAGCCTTGGGTAGCTGTGGCCTTCCTAAGGCAGGTGGGGCTCTACCTAAGCCTCATGTCAGAGCCTCACCCTGCTGGGCAGTCACTGAGGCCCCTGCAGGTCCCTGGGAGGGACACAGACGCCACCTCTGAATGGAGGTGTGGCAAGTTTCTGGAAGGACGTACCACTTGGGGAAATAACATTGTGGCCATTCATGAGAAGCTGGCCGTGGTTGGTGTTGGTGGCCTGGGTTTCACTATCATGACGGCCACATGGTCTTACCTGAGGCCACTCTTCTGTCCTCTGCAAGAGGCGAGTTACTGGAGTGGCGGAAGATTCAATGGGGGTGACAAATAGCCAGGTGTGGATGGAGGGCAGGAGGCCATCAGGGTCATCCGCCCCTGGCCTTTGGCTCCCAACTGTCATGAGTCCCAAGGGGGCACATGGAGGTAGGAGGAAGCAAACCACTAAAGCCAGAAGCTTCACCCAGAGGCTTTTGAAGACTGGTGTTGGGAGGACGTTTTGAAAAGCAGCTTCCTCTGCCATGTTTCCCTCCTCACACGCTGGCCCAGGTTCTGTCCTTGACAGGCGAAGGGTAATGGGACAGTCACCACGGGAGGAGGGTAAGGAGAGGAGGAGCCAAGTGGGGCTCACAGACCTTCCTAAACTCGAGCTGGAGATGTCGCAGCTGTGGTGTTGACAGGTGTGGTCTGCAGGGTCCCGGGGCCATGGCGTCTAAAATGTCAAAGAAACGCACAAGCTGACTCAGCTGCTCCTCACCTGCTCTGTCAGGGTCCCTGGGGTGCATGAGGACATGTTGACAGATCCTCCAAGAGCCTGGCACGTCTTGGTCAAGCTGGAGGCGCTTGAGAGGAACTAAGTAGTTTGGGGTCATGACATGTCATCTGTGTCACTAGGACATCAAGCCCTGGGTCCACATGTTCCTTTCCAGGCTCAGGGTCACGACATGTCACTTCCATAGAACATCTAACCCCTGGCTGCACACGCCCTTCCCCAGGCTTTGACCAGGGGCCAAGTTGGAGAGGCCCTAGACAGAGGGAGCAGACCCCTCTTTCTACCCAAAGCCCAGACTCGCCATCCAAGGAGGGGAGAAGCATTTCACTCCTGCCCATGGTGGGAACCCTCATAGAGCAGGAGAGCTAGTGTAGCTCTGCACCCCATTTCCAGGGCTGAGTCTGAAAAGGGGTGCTGTCCTGTGAGCCAGCCCATGGGACATCTGATACAGACCCCTCTGTGATGAAAGAACTCTCCAGAGGGCTTAAAGCACAGACAAGCACTGGCTGAGTCAAGAAACTAATGGTGGGGCTGTGGTTGTGGCTCAGTGGTAGAGCGCTTGCCTAGCTTATGTGAGGCACTGGGTTCAATCCTCTATTTTTATACCTTTATTTTATTTATTTATATAAAATATAAATAAATTAAATAAAGGTATAAAAAACACAATAACCCCAGCAGCTTGGGAGGCTAAGGCAGGAGGATCGTGAGTTCAAAGCCAGCTTCAGCAAAAGTGAGGTGTTAAGCAACTCAGTGAGACCCTGTCTCTAAATACAGTACAAAATAGGGCTGGGGATGTGGCTCAGTGGTGGAGGTTCCTGAGTTCAATCCCTAGTACCAAACTAAACTAAAACAAAACAAAACAAAACTCCCCCAAAGCCACAATAACATTATTAAAAAAAAAAAAACTAATGGCAAGGCTCTGTTCAAATTTAGATGCCACCAAGTTCAAAGGGCATGCTACAACATTCAAGGTATATGCCCACTTATAGAAGGTCTACCCACAATCCTAAGACCAGCCACTCTCCAGATCCAAGGGTCAGGGACAGCCAGGCCTCAGAAGGATCAGCTGCTGATTCTCCACATCTTAGGGGGTCCCTCTGAGGACCAGGGGATATTGCACGCCCATCACCCTCAATTCTCAAAACAGTGTTGGCACATGGCATTGTTGACATCTGCTCTGTGGCTGTGGAGGCTGAGATGCAGCTTGGTGACCTGCCCAAGCCTCAGTGGTGGTGGAACCAAATTCAGGCTCCTTTGCCCCAGAGGGAGCCTCTTCGTTTCCCCACCATGTTCCACAGGCTCCTTAGGGAAGGAAGCAAACTGGATGTGTCTGAGCAGGAAGCAGAGCGGGGGTGGCACAGGCATCTGGGGGGCTGCACCTCAGCACTGAGACACTTCCTGATATCACCAGGAAGCTCCCCAAGGAACATGGGGTGGGTGGCAGTGCTCTTAGGTGCCAACCACAACAGAGCCCGGGGTGCTGCGGCTCTGTGGACTTGCTTCTAGAAAGAGGGTGAATCCCCAGGAAGGATGCCGCCACCCAGTGGATGGAGCAGCAGGGTTTCCTGAGGACGTGCTCAGATCTGCAGGATGGAGGTCGCTTTCTCTGTGGCTCCCCTGGAGCAGCTCCAGCCAGGCTGGAAGGACACAGGTGCTGTCCGGGGAGAGGCCTGCACAGAGTGGCTCCCAGAACTGGTTTTATTTTGTGAGCCCATGAGCCTGATCCCAAAAGATGGAAGAAACACAGAAGGACCTGGTTTCGATGAAAAACCAAGGAATTTATGGCCCTTAGAACAACAGGCTGCCAAAGACACACACACTCCTGAGTAATTGAGGAATCAGGGAAAGCCCCCTGCCTCATGTAAAGGACCTCAGCTTTTGAAAGCTACTAGAATAAATGCAGATAGCCAGTGGGAATGGCTGACTGTCCTTTCCTCTCCCAGCATCACCTCAATCCACAAGAACCCAAAACAACAGGCTTATTTTTTAAAAAATATTTATTTTTTTAGTTGTAGTTGGACACAGTACTTTTACTTTATTTATTTTTATATGGTGCTGAGGATAGAACCCAGGGCCTTGCATGTGCTAGGCGAGTGCTCTACTGCTGAGCCACCACCCCAGCTCCCAACAGGCTTATTTTTGAGCTTAGCTTCTTGGTAAGAAGACAACAAAAATAAGCTTCAGTCAGGGGTTTGATTTAAAAACGAATTTCCAAGAATTATCTAGGAGTTACTGGGTTTTCAGTTAATCCCTGACTCCCAGACTCCCAGTGATGGTCAGAGGCAACCAGAACACTCACAACAAAACTGGTGGGCTGCAGAGACCTGCTTCCTGCAAGGAACAGCTCCACCAGGGTAACTTACCAACCTGTCCACCCCCAGACCCTCTCCCAGATGATCCCAACTCTCCATTTTAACCATAAAGCAGAGCAGCCAGGCCCATGAGCAAGGCCACCCCAGATGCCACAACCTGGGCCTGCAAGTGAACACTGCACTCATTCTGACATGGGCCAGGCCATTGCACCTGGGCTCTCCGCTCCTCCTCTGGCCCCAGCCACAATGTCCCACCCCTCACGGCATGTGCTGTCTTACACTGTGTCCCACCCAGGCCCCTTCCTGGCATAGGGTGCCTGTCTCCCACGGGTGCCTGGTTTTCTGGTTGAAGCACAAATGCTACTTCTTGGCAAAGGTGATGTGTCTGCCCGCTTTGCCCCCGTGCTCCACATGCACCTTCTGTTTCTTTATGAACTTTACCACCATCTGTGAGTTTGTTTCTGGGGCTGTTACAGGTCTGTGGTCAGCGGGAGCTCACAAGGACCACGACTCTTGGGCACACACACCCACCTGCCATGCA